CCTTGCAGTCGGCGATAACTTCCTTGTCATGCTGCCAACAACCCTTGAGGGTAACTTCAATTTTTCGTTCTTCAGCACTGGCATTCTGGAACAGATTTACACGAAAAATTGTAGGGGTCAACATGTATAGCCAAAACCAAGTTCAAAATACATCCATATCAGCTACAATTATTCGCTCCTTTCAGGAAAAAAAATCATGCAAAACTCTCCACTAGCTTCGCACAGCAATTTTGTTGTTGTTTTTCGTTCTTGCCGTTCTACTCAAATTATTCCCTGTTTATGCTCATTTTCCACAGAGATTGGATATCTGTTTACGTACAACATGACCATTTTCACATTCGTAAACAAGTTTTCAAAATCTCATTTTTCATATAAATGATAAACCCATAACAACGCGCAAATAGCCTAAAAAGCATTGAAAAACTCAATATATTACCCCGCAAAGAATATGCATATGCGATTTATGATAAAGAGTACGTCCCCCAGTTTTCAGCGAAAAACGCGATGGAGCACGCAATAGCAATAGGATGGAATCAAAAATCAGATGTACTCTACAGCTTGTTTTTCTCCTAAAGGGCAAAATCCGTCCCATCAACAAACAAATGCAGGATAAACCAAAAATCAAACGGAAGTGAATTTGTTGATGATAGAAGTTGGTAAACAGGGATAAAAAAATTGCTGAACTTACCCTCTCAGTTACATATTTGAAAACTGTCATGCATCCAAGCCTCTGCGCTCGATTTTCTGGTTCTGCATAGCATTTCTCGAGCGTCGGACATTGCGGATCATTTGGTGCACAGGATTTCGGGTCGAACTTCTGAAAATCATATTTCTAAAACGCACTTTATCCGGATTTCGAAGGCTCACATATGGTAATAACAACAAGAAAAGGAGAATCTAAACCTACCTCGCAATATATGAACGGTCTTCCATCATCCAAGTCGTAGTTCAATCCCAGCTGTCCATAAACTCGTGCCATATATTGCGGGTCGTAGCGAACGGACGCATTCTGAAAACATGATATTAACTGACAGAGGACAAAACAAAATGAAGCTTGGAACTAGATTTTGGAAAAAGGACAAAAAAGATATCTTTCGGATGTATAGAAGAAC